CCCCCCCCACCCCCTAGGGCTCTCCAACCACCCCATACTTGGATTCCACAAACGCTCCCATCACTGAGGAGCCCCCCCAATTCCCCCCCTACTTGGCATCCCCGAAACCTCTCCATCCTTGAGTCCTCCTCCTACCCTTCTCCACCACCTGACCCCCTGCACCTCTGCAGCCTCCCCACCGGGCCCGGGGGGGCAGCGGGGGGGCCGGCGGAGCACGGACCACTGTGAATCACGGGCATCGCGCCCGGGCCGGAGCCGAATCCCGGGTCGGGACCACCGCCGTTACTACCATGAGCGTTGGCGAGCCGAATACTTGATGGAGTTCAATGCGGCGCGGCACGGGATGCTCTGCATGGTCTGCGGGAGCGCCCTCGCCACCCTGAAGCTCAGCACCATCAAACGCCACATCCGTCAGAAGCACCCTTACTCTGGAGCCTGGGGGCCTCGAGAGAAGCAGCTCATCCTCCGCTCCTGGGACGCTCACCTGGGGCCCCACGCTGACCCCGACGTGGTCCAGAGCGGCGGCCGTGGGCCAGGTACAGGTGCTGCAGGAGGGGGCTCTCAGCATGAGCTCCCTTCACCTGGCCCCCTGTAGCCGTTGCCTCTTTAAGTCGGCCCCTTGCCCCGTTAGCTTGGGAGTGCTCTTCACGCGAGACGCACCGTTGCTCCTTTAACGTGGGGCCCTTATGATGAGGCCCCTCATTGCGGGCTCCCCCCGGATAACCATTGAGTGCTACCTCTTTTAAAGTAGCCGCTGCCCCTTTAAGATAAGCCACGCCCCGAGGGTGGCCGGACCACGCCCGCTCCCTCACGGCCACGCCCCCAGCGCCATTAGGCCACGCCTCGATGATAGAAGACCACGCCTACTATGCACGGACACGCCCCCAGTTCCATTCGGCCACGCCCAGATGGTGCCGGGCGACGCCCACTTTCCTAAGCCCCGCCCCCATCGCAATTAGGCCACGGCCAGACGGTGGGTGACCACGCCCACTTTTCCCCAAGCCACGCCCTCTGCTCCATTAGCCCCCGCCCTTCATCCCCATAGCCCCGCCCCCTCCGCCCCTATCCCGGCGTCCCCAAAGGTTCCCCTAAGCGTCCCCCGGGCCGCCCCCAAAATGTCGCCGCTGTCCCCCTTCCAGGCTGCCCCCCCCCTCCTCCCCACCGCCGAGGCCGTTTCCGTCCCCCGTCCCCACGAGGCACCAAAGCGGCGGTGGGGGGGGACTCGCTGCGGGGCTGGCTGCGGGCGGAGCTGCTGCTGGACCTGGAGGCGGGCGGCAGCCGCCTGCGCTGCCTCCTGTGCGCCCGGGCGCTGCCGTCGCTGCACCTCGGCGACATTCGGCGACACGCCTTGGCCGCGCACCCCGCATCTCTGAGCCTGGGAGCCGCCGAACGCGGAGCGTTGCTGAGAGCCTGCGGGGACGGCGCCGGGAACGGCAGCGGGAACGGCGAGGAGGACGCGGCCGGAGGTGAGACGGGAGGGGATTGGGGGCCGTGGGGACGGCGACAACGGGGAGAGGGTGGGGGGCGATGGGGACACGTGGGGTGGTGGGGACGTGGTGGGGGTGTAGGGACAATGTGGGGTGGTGGGGACGATATGGAGATGTAGGGACAGTGTGGGGTGGTGGGGGTGTGGAGACAGTATGGGGGTGTGGGGATGCAGGGACAATATGGGGATGTGGGGACATTATGGGGATGTAGAGACAATGTGGGGTGGTGGGGATGGGGGGACATGATGGGGATGAGGGGACAATGTGAGGATGCAGGGACACGATGGGGACGTGGGGGCAATGTGGGCTGGTGGGGGCAATATGGAGATGTAGGGACAATGCGGGGTGGTGGGGATGTGGGGACAATGTGGGATGGTGGGGACACCGCGGTGCATGGAGATGCTGGAGGGGGGGGAATCTGTCTGTCCCCACGGGCAGCCCCCAGCCCCACAGAAGAGGAGGAGGAGGAGGAGGCCGAGGCTGAAGCAGCAGAGGCTGCGGGGACGCAGTGGGGGACGTAGGGGTCACCACCCCCTACTTAAGGACCCCCCACCCCCCGAACCCCGGTGAGGTGGGGACAAACGGACAAGACGGACACGGGAGGGGGCATCCCTTACCCGCCCCCCAAAGTGTCCCCTGTTGGTCTCCTCCGGAGTGGCAGCACTCCCCAATGTGCCACCAACCCCCAAAAGGTCCCCCAACGTGCCCCCAACCCCCAACGTGCCACCGACCCCCACAGGGTCCCTCAACGTGCCCCCAGCCCCAAAGTGTCCCCCAATGTGTCCCCAACCCCTAAAATGTCCCTCCATGTGCCACCAACCCCCA